CTCATGTGTGTGCCTGGTACACAGCAGAGGAGTGAGGTGGGTTTGCTCCAATGACAGAGCTTATGCACAGCTTTCCACACAGCTGTCTATATCTCCACAGCTTTTCAAAAGCAAGAGTTGAGAGCTGGGCTGAGATGCTCAAGAAGCACAGCAGACTAACCACAGTTACACAGCTTTTGGATTAGAGCCGGTTCCCATCCGGCCAGACCAGAGATAGGGCAGAGCAAGTTGATATCTCTTTGCAGAAAGCCATGCAGAGGTAGCGTAACTGCCCTGAGTCTGGAGAGGTGTGCACTGACCAAAAACTGGCACTTCTGAGGTACCATGCATGCAGGTGCTCTTCCATGCTGCACACTCCTTTTTACACCTTTTTCTTGCTGCAAAAAGGCAGCAGTGAATTAGCACTTCAGTCATGCCTTCCCATGTACTCTTTGCAGTTCAGACCTGTATGATTTAGCCACACAAACATCACACCTGAACTAGACAGAGTTAAATTAAGGCCATTGCTGTGTTAAAGCCAGGCTTTGAACAGGGAGATTGGATTTGCAAAGAGGTGGTATTTCAGGCTGCTGTTGGGAAAGCCCTTGCAGCCCAGACTGGAAGGTATCAAACTGGAAAAACAGTCATGCCCCTGGCAGGACCACAGGCAAATCACCCAGGCAAATTACTGTAACTCCTTGTGCCCCTGTAAAATAGACATAGGTGACGCATCCCCAGTAAAGCTCTTAGAGAGCAAGAGCTACACATGAAATATGCTGAAGGGGAGCAAAACATTATTTCCCTTCCTTGAGTTATACTTTTGAAAGGCCTTAAACTTTGAACAGGATAGGTTTGGTGCTCAAAGTTAGCCCCTGCACAACTTTGGTGGTTCTGAGGTCCGCAGTCTTCTCTAGATGAGATTTTAGAGTGTGCAACCAAGCCATTGTGTTTTGTGTAGAGGAAGGTAATTTTTGCAAAATTTTGAGTGCTGAAGAGGTTGCATGCTGCATTGTAATGAGTGGAGTTGTTAATCACTGCCTATGTACCCAGATCTTTACACTAGAAACGTAACAGGAAAGATTCTTAAGGGTTTAGGGTGTATCTAATCTACAGTAATAAACTAACCCACGGCATTTATAATCTGTATACTGGGTCCTGCTTTCTGGTGGCACTTGGGATGCAGAAAGCTATAGGTGCCAGCAGAGGGCTCGCAGCCTTCCCTGCTCTGTAGGGGAACACTGCTGGCTTTGTCCAGCGCCGCAGCCCTGCCACGGACTGCACCGTGTGTCTCCAGCTGAGGACTGCATCCAAGTGTGACCCAGAAGTAAGTGGCTCTGCCAGCTATTCGAGTCTTGCCATTTGGTCTTATGGTACAGCTACCTAATCTCTGAAGAATTCCACTAAAGCTGTTTGGGTGTTGAACCCAATATGAAACCTTCTCCCTCCACTAACCCTGTGATGTCTGTTGTGAAAGGTTGTATGGGATATCTGCTGACAGCTCCTCTAGACCTAAACGCTATCAGTCAAAATGCAATAGAGCTGCCCAAGAGCTGCACTAGTTAGGCTTTGTAAGTGCAATGATGAAATTTAGAGACAGAAATCACAAGGCTGCAAGTTTGAAAGCAAGGGACATCCTGTGATCCTTTGAGCTTAGATACTTCGCATTTAAATGGAGCCTAAAGAACTGCATAAGTGGAAGATTCAGTAGATCCTCAAATACCTGCTTTTCCCTAGCAACTTTCATTTTTTGTCCACTTACTCCTTGGACCTCTGATCCAGTATGGGGTAGAAAAGACATCAAGGAATTATTCTTTTCACAATAATTTTCTACAATGCTTTCTGCACAACTTCCAAGCCAATTTCCACCACCCATTCATATTGTCTTGCTTGTCATTGAGCCCTGTTGCCATGCAGAAATCAGGAAGCTGGATTATCATTGCCATCATCATCCCCAGCATTTATATTTATTGGGTGGGCTTTGAGAATAACGAGCTTGTTGGAAGGCAAGTTCTTCAGTCCTTACAGAACGTAAAGGAATTTCATGTACTCATTGGTCATAAAGGCAGCATATATTCCAAGAGAGTCAGATGTTGGATTTCTTGACATCAGTAGGGAAGAAGATTACAGAGAGGTTAGGCTCTATCTGATGGCCTGTACCATTACATTTAATGTGGGTCTTTCTTCTGCCTCTGGTTTAATGCCTTCCAACCTTCACAGATACTTTTGGCTACAGGATTCTATAAGCTTTTTAGCACTTATGTTTATCTCCATGTAAAGGAGATTTCTCTCTTGCTTTAAAATCCACTTCAAGGGGTTGTCCTGAAATATAAATAATTTTTCATGGCTAAGAAATTTTTATATAAAGATGCTCTGATGAGGGAAATCCAAAAGCAGCTGCTCTGTTGCTTCAAGAAGGAAAAGAGGCTCATGTGAGTAGAAACAGATGTGGCAATGGAGAGAGGAAGAAATGCAAAGCACAGGGATTTTGTTTTAGTCCAGAAATTGGCAAATTTTGTAAAGGGGTGATTGAACAGTTCACAGAACCAGAAACAAAACAAATCAGCCTTGAAATCAGAGGACAGGAGTTCTGGGAAGTGTAGGCCTATAGGTATGAAAAATACTTGTCTGAATAGGCTTTGGGGAGCCAGGGTTGCTTCCCTGTCTGGCTCAAAATCAATTGACAGGCTGGGCACTTTCATGCATCTAGTTTCAGGTGTTATTTTCAGCAGGGTCTGTGTTTTAGTCATTCTTATTTACCATTTTACTTTTCTGATAGGATTAAGACATTGGAGCAAATGACTCCTTACTTGGCAGGCTCTGACTTGCTACAGACTATATTGGTAATGAATAAAAGGATTTTTGAGAGAAATTTAGGAGCTCAAGGTGGGGCTAAAACAAAACACAAGATGATAGACTGTTTCTGACCCCAGTCTGGAGTAGGGCTGGTGGGAGGCAAAGGATCAAACTTGTGTTTCTTAATTGTCTCCCATATAGCTAAAGATTTGTCTATGTGTGTGTTGTTTCTTTAGTCACGTGTAAAGAAATTTAACTGTTGTCAGTGTTTTCCTAATGTGTGTCAGTGTCTCCTCAACTCCTAATATTTTTTCTTTATACTCCTTCTGCTTGTTCTTTTTCTGTGACGTAAGTCTGAAAACTGCATTGGATATCTTCCTCTTTGCTGCCCAGAGACCTTTGATTAGAGCAGATGCCATACAGTACCTAACTCCATTATCCCGTGTTTATCTGAGTTTACAAATTAAAAATGCCGTGGACTGTGATAACACTTCCAGCTACAGATAGCTACAGCTACAGAACTAAATGCAACATGTAGGTGACATATTTAAGTTAGGCTTTAGTAATTCAATAATGTCTGCAAAATCAGCAAATTTTGTTCTTTGATCTGCTTAAGGAATTATTAATAAATGATAGTCTTCTGAGCAAACCCAGTTTGCCATCCTAAAAATTGCCTGTGTATTTCTTTTCTTATCTCTGCTTTTCAACTGCTCTTTAATCAATGATAGTTATTATCTCTTCGATTTCTGTGTAATATTGTTGAGAATTTTGTAAAGGCCTTTTCAAATCTGATGAACCTAAAAGTTAATTTTATGCATTATTTTACTGTTACAACCTCACAGTTCTCAGACTAAGCAGCTGTTGGACTATGATAGTCTTTTTCCAGCTCTCTTTTTTCACTTCTGCCCTCTCTGCACCAATATCACTGATTGTATTCCTGATAACATAAAATTACAAATTTATTAGAACAAATTACTCTGTTCTTTCAGTTGTCTCTGTGGAAAGCTTAGAGTAACTTTGGTTGCCTAACTTAATAATAAATTGGACTGAAAACCTCTTTTCTGACTTTGGCTTCTGAACGTGTCTTTCTCATTTATTATGTAAAAGGGCTACATTATGACTATGTTGTACCATTGTGAAGAGCATGCCACAAGTTCCACCAAGTATGTAAAAGGGCGACATTATAATGTAGCTACCAAGTAAATACAAGCCAGAGAAACTTCACTTTTTCATTCTCTGACCCAAGTCTTTCTTTCAGGAATACAACACCCTAAAGACATTGCTGCTATTTTTTCAAATTAGTTTTGATCTCTGTGTTAAATACTGTAAGAGAGCTGAACAACACTAATAATCTTGTGTCCTTGCACTGAGGAATGTTTATGCAATTCAGGTAACATGATGTTAATTAAATGAACTGTAGATCATAAATGATCTCCAGGCAGGCATCTGCCAGTGGCGTGTTGCTAAAGTAATGGGAAAACAAGGGCTGACTCATTAACTGCGAGTTCCCCGTGAGGATGGAAACAAACATCACTTTTGGCTCTTTTGCTTCAGTTGGGTTGGGATGTTTTAATTTTCACTTCACTGGATGTTTTCACTCTCTAGTGTGCCACGTCACGAAAAAAACAACCAGAGGCCAACCCAAACGAAACCCAAACCGGTTCCTCCTCCAGGACTCCACCCTGGCATCTCTGGCAGGGTCGGGCACAGCCCACTCACAGCCTCCCCCAGGACACAGTTCTGCTCAGCCCGTTCATCGCTGCCGGCTGCAGCCTCTCGTGCCACAGGCCCTTGGAACGCCAGGGCGGCCGCTCGGCGGGGCTGGGCAGTGACGGCAGATCTGCCCGTGCCCTCCCGAGCGGCCCGGGCCCTTCCCGTCCCCGCGGCAGGGCGGGGCGGGCGGGGCGGGGGCGGGGCGGGAGGGGCCGGGCCGGGCCGGGCGGGGGACCCGGGCCTCCAGTGCGGCGGCCGCCAGTGAGCCGGCGGGGCGGCCGGGCCAGTAGTACCGGCGGGGACCCGGGAGCCGAGCCGAGGGAGCCTGAGCCGAGCCGAGCCGAGCCGAGCCGAGCCGAGCCAGGCGGCCCGCAGTGCCGGCATGGTGCTGCAGAGCCCGCCGGGGCACGGAGTCAGTCGGCTGCGGAGAGGAGGGGCTGCTGCTGCGCCCCGCCGAGGTGCAGCTGTCCCGGCGTCGCTGGGCCGTGCTGCTGCTCTTCAGCAGCTACTCCCTGTGCAACGCCTTCCAGTGGATCCAGTACGGCAGCATCAACAACGTCTTCGTGCGCTTCTACGACGTGAGCGCCTTCGCCATCGACTGGCTCTCCATGAGCTACATGCTCGTCTACATCCCCCTGCTCTTCCCTGTCGCTTGGCTGCTGGACAAGAGGGGGCTGCGCCTCGTCGCCCTGGCTGGCTCGGCCCTGAATGCTGTGGGCGCCTGGGTGAAGCTGGGCAGCATGAAGCCGCATCTCTTCCCCGTCACCGTCCTGGGACAGGTCATCTGTGCCCTGGCCCAGGTCTTCATCCTGGGCATGCCCTCACGCATCGCCTCTGTCTGGTTTGGCTCCCACGAAGTCTCCACCGCCTGCTCCATCGCGGTCTTTGGGAACCAGGTAATGGGCATCTGCTTCTCGGCTGGCCAGGCATGTGGGACCGGCTGTCACCCACCTGTCGGGAGACTGGGAGTGCTAAGGGGGAGAACCAGGGAGGGGGAAGAGATGCACAGGGCCAGGAGGGCAGCAGCAGCGATAAGAGGCACTTACCGGAAATTCCCACTGGGAAATGCAGCTGGTACCTGGAAAAACGCCGCTGTGGGCTGATGCTGACGACAGAGGCAAGCGGGACCTAAGTCTACAAAGTTTGGGGCAGCATGGGGGTTGGATATTATTCTGGATTTGAGAGATGTTTGACTCAGGGTCTTCTCCAGTGCTCTCCTCTTCCCATGTTTGTGAATCTCCAGTCCAGGGTTGTGATTTAGTAAAACCATGGATGGGCTGGAGGGAAATGCACAGTGCTGAGAAACATGCTTTAGGCAGTGTCCTTCAAACCTAGAATCTGCAGTTGCCTTTGGACTTGACACTGCAATATCCTCTTCCTGCTGACAACTGGATGGGGCAAAGGAGATTATCTGTCTGCTGAAAACAGTATTGTCACTGAGGCCTGGAGGAAAAGGACTTTAGCACTTTGATACCTCTTAAAAGTAGATACAGAGTTCCGCTGCTTTTTCAAAGCAGTTGCTTTGAAAAAAAGAAAAGTTCCATCAGGCTAGTGTGAGGTCAGTTCCCCAAGCACTCTTGCATCAGCATGGGTCAGGGCGGCCCGTGACCCACACTTGCTCAAGCTATGACTGTCTTTTCTTGTAGCCAGCTAGAGCTCAGAGGAGATACATTTTTACACAGCTTTGAAAGGATAAGGAAAATAGCTTCTTGACCCTTGCACTGAAAGGCAATCATACCAGTTGAACGAAGCGGATAGGCCAATACTGATGCAATGAGGCATAAGTAGAATGAATGTGGCTCTGCAGCCCTGACATGAAGAAGAGGGAAGCAGAACCTGGCATTAGCTGATACACTGGACCTGTTCCCCTTGCTTTGACACCTAGGTACTCCCCTACACGTGACTCTGTGCATCACCCTGGACCATTCAGCCTGTGAGTGGCTGCCATTCAGATTTGAATGGTTTGCAGTTCTGGTAGCTTCTAATGCAGGCTTCTTCCTGTGTTTCTGTATTTATTTAAATACTGCTGAGGGAAAAAGAGGTGAATGCTTGGGGATGGTATCTGAAGGACTGAAGATTGCAGAACACCACTAGGGAATTAAGGAGACCGCTTTACATTTTGAAAAGAGAAAACATATTTATCTTTCTCTGAGTGAATCTAAGCTTTCCTTTTTGCTCTTATCACCCATTCTAGCGGGCTGGGTTTTATGTGTTTTTAAATGAATCTTTAGAGTGGAAGGCATCTAACTTGGCATTAGCAAATAAGTAACTCAGAGTTTTGCTGTCAGACTTTTTAAAAATTATTCAGGTGGAATTACTCAACAGTGTGCATAAGAAATCTAAACAGTGAAGCTGTCAGCCTGTACTATATGCCTGTGTGGAATCCTCATCATCCTAAAAGAAGCAGTTTAGTATAATGGTTGTGAAAAGCAAACTTTGGCTACACTTTTGGTGCTCCACACTGCTCTGGCAGTTGAACTGATGTGACAGTGAGACTTCAGTTCAGTACATAGTCTTTTCTTTGTAAGCTCAGACTTTCCTCTTATGGAGCATACTCCATAGGAAAGACCTATTAATTCCCATAGTCAAGGGTCCTGAGATGCAGAATCACAGTGAATGAAAGTAGCTATTTTGTTTACTGATGATGTTGGGCAGTGGGAAGAAATAGAGGCATCCAGTTTTCCTGACTGCAGTTAAAGAGTGTGTGTTAGGGAGTGTTGGCAAAGAGTATAATAGACGTTGTTTGCTGAGTGATGGTAGTCTTTAGGTTCAAAGTTAGCCCTGAACAGTAAATCATTGAATCAATCAGACCAGGTGTTAAAAATCCTTTAAAAAACCAAACAATCCCTAGTAGGGTATTAGAATCACCTCACTTGTTTCTGGCCATGTGTTGGCTGTGATATCTGAAGTGCAAAGAAAGGTTAGATTAAGCACACTTGAATACATGCTGGAGAGCTTCTAGAACATTTGTGGAGGAGGTGATCACATTCACTTGTTTACCCACTGCTGATTTTCTTAGCATTTTACTTTTTTGCGTTCTAACAAGAAGATACACAGGTGTTTTTCTATTCCTTTTTCCTTTTTCCTTCAAGTTCATGTAAGGGTAAGTATAGAATGGAGTTTGCATGTTGGATGCTTTGGCATTATTGTAGTAGTGTTATTAAAACATTACTTCTCAGTGCTTGAAAGACTAGGAAAAATCTATATGGGGAGTCGTGTTCAGGCTTAAGTTCTGGGGTAAATATGCAGAAGTGTTACAGAAATGTCCTTCAGATTTGTTTGAATATTGGGAGGAATTTGTCTGACATGCTTCTGAAATACAGCCATCAGTAGTAGTGTGCCTGCTATGTCAGCAGTGTTACTTGTGGAAGAGCTGGATGTCTGCATGAAGCCCCACACACAAGAGGTGGGTAGGGGAGAGCCGTTTGCGTAAGGCCATGCTTCCATTTGGGTGTATTGATTAATCAGCTGGTTCCAGTTCCTGGTTCAGACCAGCCTGAGAGGTCTAAACAGACTTCTAACATCTACACTGGAGAGAGATTGTCCTCTCATTCTCTCTGGTGACATGACTGCAGTGGGAAAAAACGCTTTCCTGAGGTAATAGCATTTGGTTGTACGTGCTTGTTGGAACAGCAGATCTTGCTCCTTCCTTTAGCACACTTGCTCTTCTGTCTTTTGGTGCTGTGGCATGACAGAACTAACACAGTGGTGGGGATGTTTAAATAACGAGTTAAATTCTCATGGCTTTTTGAAATTTATAAGCTGGAGTCTGATGGCTGGGTACCAGCTCTCTTCTTCAGCTGCCATAGTGCGTGCTGGACTGCTGTGCCTACTGTTTTAGGCATATCTGTCTCTTAGTTCATCTCAATGTTGTCACTTGATGGGCAAGGGACATGGGCAGCATGCAGAGAAGTGTATAACTGTGCTGCACATGGACAAAGAAAGAACATTTATGGGTTTGACTTTATATTGCTTTGCCACCAGTGTTGGGGTTTTTTTCTATTGAGGGAGACCTTGTTCCTGGTTCTTGCTGTTTTGACAAAGAGAAACAAGCAGCTGGTGGGAGTAAAGATGTGGGGGTGTTAAATGATTTTTTTGCAGTGATTTTGCCTGTTTTGTTTTGTTTGTTTTTTTTTTTTTTAGCAGGGTGATAGAAGGTGGTGATGTGGTTTTTGAGGAAAGAAAACTTCAGCCTCATATTAAGCTCTGCCTCTGGGGGCAAATGATGTAGCACCTTATTGATCTTTAGGTCTGTCCCTATTCTGATGGAGCTACTATGTGAGTTCAGAGGTTTAGGGCTTCCATAACAGAAACGACCTGAGGCAGAGATTTTAGGTGATATCTGCAGCCTGCTGGGAATGCCAGTCTAGCAGTGATTAGGTGGTGGCTTTTGAAGTGGACAAACTGGATGATAAGCTGTGAATGAAATTCAGGGAGATGCTCTCTCTTTCACTTCTGATGGGTCCTTTCCTTTTATTCTGAACTGGGGGAAAGAATCTGCCTGGGGTAAAGGGTAGGGTGGGTTTTCCTGTGTAATTGGTCTGCAACATGTGAATGGCCATTGCTTTTGTGCTGGTGAGCCTGCAGTGCTGTTTTTGCTGAGCGTGTGTTTGTTTGATGCCTCCCTGATAACTCTGTTCTGTACCTTTTGTCCTTCAGGGAAGGCAGTGTCCGAAAATCTAAGAAGCATTGTGGAAATGGAATTCCTGTCTTCCAGTCTCCAGTTGACTTCTAGATTTCTTTGGCTGTTCTTTATCTGCTGAAGGCTCCCCATCCCTACAGATGAGATTTGATCCCTGTTAGAAATACAGGCAGGTGGTGATCTGCCTCACTGTCCTCTGTAGCTTGGCCCTGTACCTCCCAGAGTTTTAACTATTAGAATAGAGAAGATTTTAGCAAGGAACAGAGAGGAGCTTGTAGTGGCAGTAGTTAATGGTTGACATTCTCCAGCCCTGTTTCCTTTCTCCCTCTGTAAAAAGGGCGCGGTTGATCAGAACACTTGGATCACAAGGAGTGCAACGTGGCCAACTCTCCAAGGTCCTGGATGTGGCTCATTGTGGGAGGGTGTGCTGACCAAATAGCAATGTGGCTTTCTATAAATGGACATGGGAGCCTGAAATGAACTTTATTCTACCCATTCCATCTGGTGCCCTCTTCCCAGCCATACACCAAAGGCAGCTCCCCCTTCTCCCTCATCAAAGCATTGGGTTTTGGGTGAAGTTCTGCATGCGAGTTTAAATGAATGCCTGCAGTGTTTCTGCTGGGAGGGCCTGCCCTATGGCACCCTCAGCACCTGCCCTGAGGGATCCCTGGGACTGGCTGTATTCTGTGACTGTAATAGGTCCTTGACCAAAGTATTATATTCTTGCTGAGGATTCCAGCAGCAGCTGAGGTAGTTGTCAGAGCTGAAACCCATCTCTACTTTGTTCTCTCTCTTGTCTACTGCTGCTTTTTTTCCTGTGTTTTGCTTATTTCCCTGCAAACTGGGGGAAGGTGCATTCAAGGCTGACAGGCCCTGAATGACTTGCATAGGTCACTGTGCAGTGTTGCATCATATTAACCTTTATGAGATGATGCCACAGAAGCAGAAGTGTGATGAGGAAGGGAGTTTGCTTTGCTTACAGAAGAGCTTTGGTTGTGCAATCTTTAGACAAGTTTGAAAAAAATTGTCTTCCACATCAATGGGAGAGTAAAAAGAGCCTAAGACCTATCTTATCTCATCACAAGACTAGATTACAATTTTTCCTTTCACAACTTGGGTCCTTTCTGCTTCTTAAAACACTGCAAGAAATTTGTCTAAACTGTGCAAATACAAGCTGTGCAAATATGTACGTTGACTTCCTGACTATCTGGATTTCGACAGTCTCTTTTAATTTTGCTCTCAGTGGTATGGAAG